GTCGTCCCAATGGACTATCAAGCTCAGAACCCTATAAGATCGAGGTGGCTAAATGTCTGAAAAACTGGCAATTTTCAAGGAATTTTTGACGACCGGGAAAAGTCAGTGAATGTCAAAGAGCAATAAAATCACAAAAAACATTCCCTAGAAAGCAGCAGTGAGTCTCATCCTCTAACCTGATGCTTGCCACCATCGTAGAACGCACGCTGGCCTCCGTTCGAGTTGGGGGAACGGCACGGCGGAATGGATACAAATCAACTTGCTTCTACGTCGGGAAATTGCCTACTCGTCGAAATTGAAGGCGTTTCGCCAAACGCGGTGAATTTAAGTTACACTGCTTTTACATCCAGTCCTTGATGCACTTGAATTACAATGGTTAAGAATCTCCGATTCTGTATGCTTTTTTCCAAAGGAAACCAATAACATTTTCTAGGACTACATATATATTTAGTAAATGAGTGAAGAATGTACACAAGGAAGAAGGAAAACTATGAGGTAGTTTTCTATCAAAGAACGAAACATCAGCAGAACTTTGCAACGTCATACACTTACCTTTAGTTCCCTCCTTGCACCCCTCTCCTGTGCTACCGTGCTAAGGAAAAACGCCGTATGAACATTCGAGAATTGCCAAACCTCCGAAAAAATATTAATTTTTAAGGGAATTTATGAATATTTTTTTTTTGAAATTTGCGAGATCTATAGATGAAATTGTGAACAAAATTATCGGAAAAATTGGAAACAAAACGTCCATAAGTTTTCTCGAAAATGCGTGTTTCATCAAATGAAATTTGGCAACATCTGAAGGTTCATACGGCGTTTTTCCTTAGCACGGCAGTGTGATGAGGATGACCAAGGCATCACAGTGATCCTATATTTAAATGCCACAAAACATTGCGAATGCCAGAAATCCGTAATTGAGGACTCTCAGCTCAACAAAATGCATTGCGAAAACTTTGCAATATGTTGGTGCGTGGAAAGTCGGCGGGGGGAGGGGATTCCGAGCCAGTTGCATTTCCGAGTTCTGAGGGGAAGGGGGGGGGGGTGAAGTCCAAATTTTTCCGGAACGACATGTTCGACTGTCAACCATAACAGATGCGAGCGAGCGGCGGCGGCGGGAAAAGTGGCCGAGGATCTCAAAGGAGGCTTGATTAGTGCGCATACAGAGCGCGAGCGCGCTCTTGTGAATTGAAATTAGCCGTAAGTTCGCTGTTGTCAGATTGCCTAAAAAGACCTAAAATTTTTATAAAGGAATATATTCCACACGATTCACATTGTCTATATTCTGAAACTCTTCACCTCTCTTAATTTAAAAATCTAAATTTTCGTATATACTCCCGTTTTCAAAATTCTCTGTAAAGACGTTAGTAGCCTGTGACGCTGAATGTCTCAAAATTATACTAACTAACTAACTTATACCTGAGAAAGGAGTAAAATGTAACAGTTTTTCCGGTATGTACAGCTAATGTAAGCGCCACCGTAAAAGTCTGTGTTGTGGATTTCCCCCCAGTCCATTTCGTTGCGTTTTTCGGACCACCCCCTTGAAGTAAATTCCTCGTATTTTTCTTGTCTTTATGAACCTTGCCATTAAATTTTCAAGCGTTTTGTTTTAGTAATCGAAAAGCGATTTTACGCGATTTTGGTTGAGCCGATGGGTGCTAACTATAACACTTGTCTCGTGGCCGTTTACGTTCATCTGTCCATATCCGCTGTCCTTCCAAACTTTTTTTTTATTTTTCCCCACTTTCTTTTTGAAAAAGGGGTCTTGAAACACCCAACTTAAATGGTGAATCCGTCGATTATCACCCACAGAATTGACCAAAAATTTCAACAATCTTAAATTTTTATCATAAATTTTAATTTTACATTCTTCCGACACATTCCGAGGATGGGCTTTCCAAGCAAGTTCACCGCTTAGATTTTTTTTGGATCCTCCGCGCTCCCCTGGTGATCAAATTCATCCGACCACCCTCGCATTTCGAGCGATTTTCCGGGCAGAATTGGCGGCTCGGCAGGTGGGTTGGCGACGCTTGACAGGATGGCAGACACTCGACGACCCTATAGCACTCGTCACAACTCATTTGAGAATCAGGCCGCGCGTTCGACTGGATAAATATGTGCTCGTCATTATTCCGCCATCATCGGTATTCGCGAGGATCCCCCTGCATACGGGGATGGGATCCGCCGCCACCTCTCGATCGATGGGGTCCAGCATCCACCTCTCGTTAACCTTCAAAGCAGCAAGGTGTTTTGCCCCACAAACCTTCGATGGAGGGGGAGACTTGATGCCCCGATTTGTAATTACTTGCGTTGCTCTCAAAATCGTTCTCAATTCATTTAATTGGACGCATTTCTGCCAAACGGAACTATGTGCAGTATGACGTGCACTGGAAAAAAAAAACGTATCGGATCTAGAGTCCAGACTTTTAAAAACATCGACAAGAAAGAATACTCTAGATACAATCGGATTTTTGCTTAAATCAAGAGCCAAGCCTCTTAATTTGAGCGGATTTCCTTTTGATTTAAGCAAAAATCTGATTGAATCAAGAGTATTTTTCTTGTCAATGTTTTCAAGAGTCTGGACTCTAGATCCAATGTGTTTTTTTTTCCAGTGTGAGCCCTGTTATGCATATAACTTCATGGGTCTCAGGCCTCATGTCTCAATGTCCATAGTTCCGTTTGGCAAAATTACGTCCATTTCGGCTTGATGTGTCCGCTTTACTCCAAACTTTTGTTTGTTTACAGTATTTGAATTGTGTATCGATCATTTTACCGAAAATTTAGGTACGAAACTTTTCTAGAGTTTGGTGTGCGAGTAAAAGCTTGAGGATCATTTATAAAATAGAAGAAGAATGGGTAAAAGTCATTGCCGGCATAGGAACCAAGGCAACCAGTGGGCCGATTATTGAAATTGATAGACAAAGAAGAATAAGAGGAAATAATGTAGCATTCAATTTATTTATTATCGCTCAATTTTCCCTTTGTCTATCAAATTTCAGCCTGCGGTTGAACTGACATACCTAACCGAAGAGACAGTAATATGTGCTTGTAAAATTAAATTTTTCAAGGATTCTGAACTTCAGGCAGAACCGTGAGAAGCTACATGAAGGTGATTATAATCTTAGGACATTTTCTCCGGAAAAAATTAAAGGAAAACTGGAAATAGGCTGTTTGTTTTCCTGTGAGTTACAGTACAAAAGCCGTACACAATTGTCTTACCTCCCTTTGGACTCGGACACCCGGGTTGATTTGAAAAATACTCGGCACATTTTCCGTGTTCCGCCTGAAATTTTCCGGAGGGCTTACCTTTTGTAACGTCTGATTCTCCCGCTGTCTAGTGATGCATTGTGCTCTGTTACGCTCTGATTTACATAGAGCGTCGCACTATGGTCCGAATAGCCGGTTTAAGCGGCATTAAATCAGATACGTATGTTTAAACCTCGCAACATGAGTTTTCAGGGGTTTTTAGGGTCGCTGAGTGCAAAAATGCTAATATTCTTCAGGAAAAATCCATTTTTAACATTTTTACACTTTATATAACTGTGGTAATAATTTGCTCAGAAACCTTAAATTGAGGCCTACAGTCCAAGTTGATGCGGTGGAGCAGTTGTCATCGCGACTTACTTGTCTTCTTGATGTCCCGGGTTCGATTCCCGGAGGATTTTTTTTTTTTTTTTTTTTTTT